AAGGTGTTAGGCCCACCCAAATCAGGATCCAATTAGGGTTTTTTTTGTATGACAATAGCAAGCTTAAAAAAACAAAAGGAAACGGGCCTAGGAGTAAAATTCGCTCGGTCCAGCAATATAGAGTTTTGTTTGTTGTATAAGCAAATTGTTTCCAAAAAAAAACAATGGCTATGGGCCAAGCCCAATAGGACAATTCGGTCCATTTCTTTCCAATAACAGCAGACCACCCTTAAAATATCAACATATTATCTATTTAAAAAATAAAATAAAAGAACAAAACAAACAGAAGGAGGGATTAGGGATGATTTTTGGGGGTGACGGTTCATCTTCTCAATGGACCTCTTATTCTCTCTCTGTGAATCGGCACATCCTCTTCCCACTGCTGTGAAGCCATGGCTGCTGCGAATCACCACTACCACTCGTCTCTCTCCCTGTCTCAATCCTCTCTGCGGTTCTGTCTGTTACGCGGTTTACAACCTTCTCTAATCCAAGCTTCGTCGTTCTCGTCTCATCTTCATCTTCAAATTCAACGTGCGATCTCCGTCTCAACCTTCTTCGTATTATTTTCGTCATCTCCGATGCATCAACAACATCTCTGATTCAACTCCGCATCTCCGTCGTAATCGCGGTTTCGCCTCGTTCGCGGTTCTCAACACTTAGGCAAAAAAAGTGCAGAAAAAAGAAGTGGAAGAGATAAGATTTACCTATCGAAAGCCAACTCTGATGGTTCTTCAGAGACGTTGAAATCCAGAAAACCAGAGGTAATACTCTTCTACTTCTCTGCATTTTTCTTGTTCGAAAACTTTTTCATCTTCTTTTCTTTGTTAATTTATTCATTTTTTGCGTTTTTGCAAGGTTGGTGTCAGTACGCAAATTATTATGATGAAGTTGTTTTGCAGTAGTTGAAGATGATGCTGAAACTTGAAGATGCAGATTGAGGATTCTTGAAGGTGAATCTTGAAGAGGATTGAAGATTTTTCAGAATTGATGAAGATGATGATTAAGGGAGGAAGCCGAGAGAATTGAGAGGAGTTCTTGATGAAGTACAGAGAGAATGTTGCAGAATGACGGTGAATTAAGAAAGAGAGAGAGATTGAGATTTTTCTGTGTGATGCTCCAAAATTGAAGAAGTGTGAATGGAGGAAGTGAGAATGAAAGGTAATTTTCTGATTTTTTTGAGATTGGCAATTTCCTTGTTTAATTGTGCCATAGATTGCGCACCAAGTACCATCTCTAGCCATTTCTCCTGCTTTATTGACCAAGAAGTCCAAGGGTAGACCACTATTATTTCTCCATCTCTACTTCACATCACTAAGGCCCAAATAAAGTGTCTTAGCAATAACTTCAAGATTGGGCTTGTTTGGAACGACATGTGCTCGGTGATCTTGAGAAAATGAGAGTACTCTTTCAAAGTTGGAGCAGTCTAATAGTCCTGGAAGGTGAAACAGCATAACTCATAGTCGTAAAACTGAAGTAGAGTCCGGAGAGCTCCATTATCAACTCGAACACCTAATAGAGTCAAAGTTCCACCATATCTTTCACTAAAAGCCTCTGCATTATGATGGACTAAACAATCTTTCAAATGCTTCAAAGAAGGCCAAGAACTTGAGCGGAACTGATAAGTAAAATTGTCTCTTCTGGTCCTCTAAGGAACGTCATTGTTGCTAGACGTTACTATCAGAAACTATAACTTCGTGAGATACCCCAAAATGGACATGCACATGCAAGGTTAGTATATAGTTTCATTTTTCTGACATTTATTTTAAAAAGTAAACATGATATGATGTAAGTGCAAGTGATCATGAGATTACTACTTCCATGATACTGATTTTTGTTGTATTGTCTCTGCATAGTCTGTTGGAACATAACCGGAAGAACCCCATAAATATCAGATTCAGAACTCAGAAAATAAATTTGAGGATCGCATAGTCACCGACAAAACAAGTCACCAACGGTACCTATAAAGATTATCCCTCCCAACTCACAGGTAAAGACTGGGTCAGTGTAAGCCAATGGTAACTCAAAATCACGGGTTTGCCTGAAAGCACTACCATAAAGCCATAGAGGTAGATGACGATAACACCCCATTTGAAACTCATCTAAGCATAGACGACATGCTTGTGTTGGTAGGACCTTCATCCAATAGCCTTCATGTTCTACTTTATTCCTAGGTTTTCTAGATAGTTCACTCTAGCTGGGTACTAGGCCTTTTACCTCATAGTAACACCCTCCCAACATGGAAAACTAGAAGCCAGCACAGCAGATAACCAATATGGAAAGCAATAAAATTCAATGCAAACATATGCTCAAATAATCATGTACAAATGAATAAACTGAAAGTATACAAATAAACACCCAAAGAAAAGGAAACACGGGCTAGGAGTGACTCCGAGATGGACCAGCAATTGGTCGACCTGTCCCCAATGAAGTCGCCAGCTAAAACAACCGGATAAAAATCATCAGACAATGAAGTATCCATCGAACGTCTTTTATCTCACATGAAGAGATAGGTAAACATTGAGAAAACCTGAGAAGGGAAAAGTCACAGTCTTACGACCGAGAGATCGGGTAAGGGAGTCTGTTACGCGAGAGGAAGGTATTAGCACCCCACACGCCCGTATTACTCTACGGTATCCACTCTTGTTATCTATCTTATGGGTGTGTTTAATCTATGCTAACTGCTTACTATTGAGGAAGAATGCATGCAAAAGAAATGAGAAAATAATGTAGGGAAAATAAAGTTATGCTCGCTTGGGTCCTATCGCAATGCCTATGTATCCTTTTGAGGAATCAGAGTTACCATAGTTCGGCTCACATGTTTTTGTTTGTTTTGTGTTTTTTAATGAACAATGTTAATTCTGCCTTCTGCTGCAGCTCGACCTTTAGAGACTCACACGATAGCACAAAAGTAAATTAACATGTCCTTACCTGAAAAATGGTTTTGAGTTACGCCCTCAAGGAAAGATGTCACACTTGATTGGTTTGTATTTTGTTACCTTGAAAAATGGTTTAAGTGTGATTATCATATTTTATGATTTGCTAAGAAAAAGAAGGTTTTAGTTTTAAATGCAAGGATGCAAAAAGGGGAAGAAAAGAGTCTATGGGAGACTAGCCTATTTCTAATACTAATGTTATCATACAATGATTGTTCTAAGGTTTGAATTAACAAAAGGGAAACATATACCTAATGTTAGCATGCATAGATACCTATCCTAAGGTCTAACTTGCATCCGAAAAGAACAAGCACATCCTAAGGGAACATGGTATAGAAAGCGAGTGAGCAAACAAGCTCGAAAGAGCACACACATGAAATGGTAAAAAAAGAAGCAAAATGCTTTAGTCAAGGGGAGAGGATCACCCGAGACAAACAAGCGGGAGTGAAATATAAAAGAAGATAAATTCTTTAGCTAAGGGGAGTGGATCACCCGAAGCAAACAAGCAGGAATATGATGTAAAACAAAAATGTGATGTCTGAAGTGACTGAACATATAACTAAGATATAGAAGATCGAGGTAGGTGACAAAAGGCAATATAAACAATCACGGAATGTCAACATCGACCAATGCAAAATCCTGGCAAATTATGGGGGTTCGATTGCGAAACAATTTTCCACTTGACGGCCCGTTAAAGAGAGTAGGCACAACTCCGACGTATCGTGGTGCATCACGAGCTAAGGATGATACAAACAAAGTGCGGGAGTTGATTGTGAATCCTTTCCGCTTGCATCATTTTGAGGACTTCAATAAGGGATGGGGGAATAGTGCAGGCACAAATGTAAACACACCTTCAAAATACCTACTTCAAAGGTAGGGTTTTAAACAAACACAAATAGCATATAGAATGCACATAATGCAGAATTTCCCCAAACGGGTCTTTAAATAAACCAGAGGGGTTCCTGACATGAACAACAATGGAGATCCCCATCATACATCTCTAGTCCTACTTCTCATGGCAAGGAAAGCAGTAAAGAAATGCAATAAAGTATGGAAAAGTATAAAAGCAGTAGCGACGACTACCAAAAGTAAGCAAATCGTCAAAAGCGGACGAGAGCAATGATGAAATAGGGAGTACGCGTCGAACAAGCTTCACCAAGAAAAAAACAAAGTCAAAAACGATATCCAACTAAGATAAAAGCAAACGCGTGTTGCGAATGCAACGCATAATCATAAATTCCTGCATAAAGTATCAGAAAATATCACATGTATCGGGATAACATATAATATGATATGAATTCCCCAGGACGATGAGAAATAAGGCGTGTCACATCGGAAGTGAGCATAAGTTTTATGCTTCGATCAAATAATAACCTGTTACATTACGTGATCGAAAGCACCAAAATGTACCTTGCACAATGAACAAATGCGTCAAAATAACGAGGCACGATGGTATGAAAATATAAACAAAAACTAAAAGAAAAAGTACTTTTATTAGTTTTTATGTGATGAAAATTCTATCGAAGAACTAAAGAATTTCTAGAAAAATTCTATTATATTCTACCATTTTTTTTATCATTAATTATTTTCGATTATATTTTTTTATCATTAATTGTTTTCGATTGTTGAAATTCAAAAGAGAAATGAAATAAAAAATCAAATAAAAAGACTAAAAACTAAAACAACACCAAGACTCAAAGGGGGGTGTTAAGCTGGCATTGAGCGTTGGATTCAATAACAAAGGCGTTAGGCCCACCCAAATCAGGATCCAATAGAAAACTTCAAAAAAAATCAAAAGGGAACGGGCTTAGGAGGAAAATCTGCTCGGTCCAGCAATATAGAGTTTTGTTTGTTGTATAAGCAGGACAATTCGGTTCATTTCTTTCCAATAACACCAGTCCACCCTCAAATTATCAACATATTATCTATTGAAAAATTAAAATTAAAGAACAGAACAAACAGAAGGAGGGATTAGGGATGAGTTTTGGGGGTGACGGTTCATCTTCTAAACGGACTCTTCTTCTCTCTATGTGAATCGGCGCATCCTCTTCCCGCTGCTGCGAAGCCATGGCCACCGCGAATCACTGTTATCACTCATATCTCTTTATGTCTCAATCCTCTCTATGGTTCCGTCTGTTACGTGATTTCCGACCTTCGTCGTCGTCGTCGCATCTTCATCTTCAAATTCATCGTGCGATCTCCGTCTCAACCTTCTTCGTCTCATTTTCGTCATCTCTTATGCATCAATAACATCTTCGATTCAACTCTGCATCTCCCTCGTAATCGCGATTTTGCCTCGTTCGCGGTTCTCAACACTTAGGCAAACAAAATGTGTTGAAAAAAGAAGTAGAAGAGATAAGATTTACCTCTCGGAAGCCAACTTCGACGGTTCTTCAGAGACGTTGAAATCCAGAAAACTAGAGGTAATACTCTTCTACTACTTTGCATTTTTCTTGTTCGGAAACTTTTTCATCTTCTTTTCTTCGTTAATTTCTTCGTTTTTTGCGTTTTTGCGAGGTTGGCGTTAGTATGAAACTTGTGATGTTGAAGTTGTTTCGCAGTAGTTGAAGATGATGCGGAAACTTGAAGATGCAGATGGAAGATTCTTGAAGGTGAATCTTGAAGAGGATTGAAGATTTTTCAGAATTGATGAAGATGATGATTGAGGGAGGAAGCTGAGAGAATTGAGAGGAGTTGTTGATGAAGTACAGAGAGAATGTTACAGAATGAATGGTGAATTCAGAAAGAGAGAGATTGAGATTTTTCTGTGTGATTCTCCAAAATTGATGAAGCGTGAATGGAGGAAGTGAGAATGAAAGGTAATTTTGAGTTTTTTCTATGTTGAATCGTATCTCTTTTGTGGATAATTCTAAAGTTCTGTTATATAGTGATAAAGTTTGTTATAGAATTAGTTAGAGGGTTAGAAATTTGTTAGGATATGAGCTGGTAATGGGAGGTTCAATTGGAAATCAGTAAGATGTTAGTTATAGAAATTATGTTAGTTAGGCTTTTTGGTTTTCTGTTAACTTTCTGTTTTCAGTTAGTCAGTTAGGTTTGGTTGATAGATTTTCAGTTAAAATGTTAGCTGTTAATTCTTATTTTCGATATACTTTTCCTTTCCGATTTAAAGAATTTATATTTTTCTGATTTCATTCATTATTATACTAATTTTTCCTTTTGAATTGCTTTTGGCTGTAAGAATTGATATGCAGGGCTGTATTGGTTTTGAACATTGTAGTTATTATCTCAGTCAGGTTGTTTATGTGTTAATGTCAATAATCAAGGGTATACATGGGAGCGTGATTTAAGGTAATTGAATTCATGGAGGCAGCATGGAGAATTATCTCTGAGACAAGAAGCTTGAATTGTGGACATGAGGATGGTAAATCATGGGGATCTTAGCATGAAGAGGACATGAATGCCTTCAGATGCTTAGATCATTAGGTGTTTTGTGATGTAACTTTCTTTGTGGTTTAAGAATGATTTTGTAGCAAGTTTTTCGGAATAAGCATTGTTTGGGTTAATTTTTGTGGTTTATATTCATACATGTTTTGTGTTAATCAAAGAACAAACAAATTGTATTGATTTTGGATATTGAATTATATTGACAAAATTGGTTTCAAGAAAAAGGTATTGAACAAAAGCTTATGGTCCTTGGTCTGAAGTATATTCACGAAGATAGAGACAAATTTTTAGGCCTTTTGACTGTAAAAATGTTAGAATGGACATCATTTTATGAACTTGGATGTGTGATGAATGATGATTGAACTTTGGGAACCTTGGTACCTTAAATTTTCCTTTGCATTTTGTTAATTGAATGAAATTTTGATGAACTTGGAATCACTTGAACCAATATTCACCTCAATGAAACCTTAGCTTGCTCAATTCAAGAAGTCCACATGATTCTCTAATATTTTACTCTTGAATTAATATTTTGACAAATCAATGTTAATGCCATAAGGAATCCCTAAATCGGCACCTTGACTTAGCCGTAATGAATTCTTGGCACATTTAAATAAATAACGCAATCTCAATCTCCATTAACTTGTCATTCAACCAGCCAACTATAAAAAATTGAGGGAAAACACATATGTTATAATCATAGTGACTCCACAAATCATATCTCATACCATGCCTTGACTTTAACGAGTAACAAAATATCAGTGCCTTGAATCCTCAAAGATGAAGGTACAGTTTGAAGTGTATAAAGAATATGACCACCAAGACTGTTCTTTGACATGAAACCCTTGAGGTGATGGAAAGAAACCAAACCCTGGCTCCTCAATTAGTCCTTGATGAAACCCTGAGAATTTGCTTAAAAGAATATTGATAAAGAAGATGTCTTAACATGTTGAAGAATGTCAAAACCTTAGTTCAGCCATATTTGATAAAGCAACCAATTGAATTCATCTTGAATGAAGTAGAAAAGCCTCAAAGCAATATAAACCCTAATTTCCCAAGACCCTTAATCCAAAAGACCAATCCTTGATGAAATTGGATGGAGAAGACCTTATATTTTGATGCAGAAGAAATTCACAAACACTGAACCAAAACCCTAGCTTCAAACCCTTATTATTGATGAAACTTGTTGATCCAAGCTTGCATGAAGATGAGAGCCTTCATCGAAATCCTTGATCCCATGCTAAGCCTTATGTTTAATGAATGCATGATGTTGTTAAATAACCTAATGGAAGGTATGCAGATGAAATGAGAATTGAAAAATGCATAAGCCAGATAAAAATGAAAGGGTAGGAAAAATTTGAGGTATTACAACCTCCACCATAACTTTTCCTTTATCCTTAGCCATAACATCATCCGTTTGTTGTTTAGGACCATAGATTCGACCATTGCGAGTCATGCCCCATGTCCCTGCTATATTTTTAATTGCAGGCTCTTGACTCGTCGATGGCTCACATTCTTTCTTTAAACCATTGACATAGGCAATAGAATCATAACCCCATGGAAAGGCTTTGTCACTTTGATAAGGAGTAGGGGACGACGCCCTAATCACTATTGTAGTCTTCAGAATCATTGGTATCCTCAGAGTCCGACGTGGTATTGTCACTGGTGCTTTGTCATACTTGCCTCTCCCTAAGGAATTTGAAGAGTTTTCTTGGCAGGACTCGGACCTTGACAATGAATTACCAATTGCTTCTTTGTATTTCCATCGATCGCAACTACATATTCTTCTTCAGGGTATCGCCCGAACTAGACTATCCCCTGATCCGTCAATTTCTCCAACGTCTTCTCAAAAGCATTATTATGCTTCAAAAGGAAACCATGTTCAAACAAATATTCCTTCAGGAGATTTATCAGAGTTTTTACTCGTTTAACTTCCCCATAGTTAGTGACTACCTCGATTGCATTCACAGTTAGCCCGCCATGCGGAGGCATGGTGTTCGTCTTGATATTAGGCTTGCTGAAAGTGATATCTTGGGAATCCAACAAATTTTTAACCTTATTTATGAAGGCCCAGAAATTTTCTATGGTATGTGTGATACGATGGGAGAACTGACTTGGGTGTTTTGCGTTTTATCACAAATGTTGCGGTTAGCAAGAGTCGCCACCGACTTTTCTTTTATCCAAAAGGAAAGGCTGAAAAGAATAGGAAAGACCTTTGAGATTATTTCTTGAGTTCGGGGGTAGATTATGAAAAAGGAAGATATTAGCATCCTTTTCATCCATAGTTATCTACGGGCTCTTAGTTGCTTGCTAGATCACTTGCTTTTATTTGAAAATGTGTTTTGTATGATTTTTGAAAGTATTTTGAAAAGGCGCAATTGTTTAGGCAAACATTGTAATAGTTCTCGTTCGTAAGAACGTATACCAAGTGTTGAGCTTTTGAAAATATTTCATGTTTGGAAAATGTTTTGAAAGTGTTTTGAAAGTGTTTTGAAAGTGTTGGTGTTTGTTTTGAAAATAAGCAAGGAGTGTTTGATTTGAAATTGAGCAAGCAACTAGGAACAATCTACCTACTCAAAAGTCTTAGTTAATTTCTTCCTTTCCTTCGATATTGCTATCTTACCATTGATTTGGTAAGAAGCCTTATCTTTGGATGTAAAAGGGATGGACATGGGTCATCGTATAGCCATGATAGCAATGTTGTAAGATGTCTTAGCATTTCTCTTTGAGGGACTAAGATCATTTTGAAAGGCAACATTGATAGCGTCATCGAGGGACTATGATCTTGTATTTTTTATTGCTTTTTGCTAAGATATCCCACATGCATAACATGACCATTTTTGTAAGGCAACAAAGTGGAATTACCCTAAGTGTGTAAGTGTGCAAATGTGTTTGATTTATATGTATTTTTATCTTGAATTAGGGATTGCTACTTATTGATTTTAGTCTTATCATACAAATCCTAATTACTGGCATTTATATTAAAGCGACAAATTGCAGAAATTAAAATTACTACGCTATTACATCATTAGGGGAGGGGGTATACAAATTTACAAATGGAGATCACAAGAAATTAAATTCCTAATTATCTATTACAACCATATTGAAATAATATACAAGAAATGTAAAATGGACTTGTTTTTATTAAAAAAAAGAAATAGGTTTGCCTAAGAAAATGTTTTTGATCTTTTGGTTTTGAAAGAGATAAAAATAAAGTATATAAAAAAATCCTTTTGAGTGTTTTTGGTTAATGAAAATAAAATGATGGTAAAAATAATAAGAGGAAAAGGAGTCAGAATTAGCGGATGGCTGAAGTAAGAGGCTATGACTCTGGTGCGCTGCAAGTTAGAAGGAAAATGTTAGCAGAGAAAAGGGACAGTCAGAAGTTCTGGTTCGAGCACACCAAAATTCAGGGGTTGCTGGGAACAAGGGAAACTCTAGAAGTTCTGATGTAACTGGCAGCCTAGAAATTCTATTGTTATTGAAAGGTCAGAAGTTCTGGTTGTTGTGATATTCTGGATGTTGAGAGAGTTTGGAAGTTCTGATGTAGCTGGACACTTAGAAGTTCCAGTGTTATTGGAAAGGTAAAAGTTCTGATAACGGGTATGTGAGGTGTCAATGATGTTGGGTAGGAATGTCTAGAAATTCTTGTCCAGGATCAATGTTTTGATAAGCAATTAAAGGGATTGATCTAGAAGTTCTGGTCCAATTAATGGGGTAAAAAAGTCAGGAAATAAACAATAAAAAGAATTGTTTCTGGGGCTAGAACTCAGAACCCTTAACACAAATGTCTTATGAACATGCTATCTACCACTAGGGTGGCTATACATTCGGGATCAAAAGTAAAA